AAGCTCAAAAAAAAAAAAAAAAGGAAAAAGACAGAAAAGAGCAGCGTCTGTGACTGTGCCGGTCGAGCAAGTCAGCTTTTTAACCGTACACATCCGAAGCCAAAGCCATGAGCCGGGTTTGAGCCTCGAAAAAAAACCACCACCCCACTCACGACTGCGAGCGAAATCCGATGAGAGGAACGGCTCAGAGAGAGTGAGCTGCCGTAGATTGTCCAAAGGGGCAGCGTTTCTCCTAGTTCCGGTTTGTCTGCCTGTGCGCGCTGCGCGAGTTGGGACCCTAAACAAAAGGCTGCCATCATCCTAAAGGAGATATTCCGCTGCGAGAGAGCCCGTCTGCTTGATGCCAACCAAACATGAGCTCCTATTTTGTTAACCCTCTTTTTTCTAAATACAAAGGCGGTGAGTCACTGGAGCCAACTTACTACGACTGCAGGTTTCCACAAAGCGTCGCCCGCAGCCACACGCTGGTCTACGGACCCGGAGCAGCCGCGCCGGGCTTTCAGCACCCGTCCCATCATGTGCAGGACTTTTTCCACCACGGGACCACGGGGATCACGAATCCCGGATACCAGCAGAACCCCTGCGCTCTTGCGTGCCACGGAGACGCAACGAAATTTTATGGATATGAAGCCCTTCCGAGGCAAACGCTTTATGGTACCCAGCAAGACGCAAGCCTAGCGCAATACCCAGACTGTAAATCGTCGAGCAGCTCTAACCCCGGAGAAGGACAAGGCCACTTAAATCAAAACACCTCTCCCAGTCTTATGTTTCCTTGGATGAGACCCCACGGTCAGAATCGTACAATTATTTCCTATTCTTTCTGTGTTGCTCGGTGCGCGCGCCTGTGAGTGACTGTGTGTGTGTATGTGTGCGTCAGCGTGTGTCTGCCTGTGTGTTTGTCTGTATGTGTGCTGAATATGCCTGAGCACATGTGTGTATATATATGTGAGTGTGACTCAATAACTATAAAACGAAATAAGTGAGGGAACATGATGGGGCACATACAACCTGTACTGCAGGCTGCTGTTACTCTGCAGCACATGTCCATACAGGGCTGAGTTGTTGCTTTGAAAAGTGCCTTTAAAACACTGGATTGCTCATCGCAGCTCATGACACCAGCTCTTTCAAGTCAATTATCGTTCACATAAGATATTTCACAAACTCCGGAAAGGCACTGTGGGGGGGAGATGATGAATAAGTCATAGTTTAAAATATGATGCTACCACACAGCTCAGAATGAGCATGCAGAGTGACAGGAGGGTTAGCTGCAGACACAGCATGTCCCGGTTTACCCAGAATCCGGGGTTTAAGGATTTGGGGGTAATTCGATCCACAGGCCCATCGTGGCTCAGACTCATACGGCCATAATCATAAAGGCTTTGTAGACATTACCTCTTCCATTCACGGATCATCATGTTCAGGCTATCAGGCTACATTAACTCCACACAGGTGTAAGACTCATTTTTATCTGCTCAGAGACATTTAACATTAGCCATGCCCCCATCTGTTGTTACAGTGCACCTTCACCTCTCTTTCAACACAATACATTCACCTTATTTCTTTACATTTTACACTAGTGAGTGAGTGAGTGAGTGAGTGTGTGTGTGTGTGTGT